GGTATTTGAAATGTTTTGTTTGTTTTTCAGATTTTATTAGTTTAAGTAATATGTATCAAAAATTTTTTAATCATTCACAATTCGTAGTAAACAAGGTACTACGATTTTTTACACATACACTTAACATATAAGGTGTTATCAAACTCAGTTTCAATTTCTGTATATAAAAAGTTGTTTTTTTATTTCTGGTTTAAATTTTATACCCTAAAATTAAGTTATATAATATATTGATATATAAAGTTGTCTTGGCTTCTACCTTTATGTTAACTTTAATTAGCTTACTGTAAATAAACATCAGATTACTGTTGAGGACCTGAAAAAGTGAACAGATTTTTGTGTCTGACAAGCAACAATGATGCTGTTTACAGAAATTTCAATACGTTATTAAATTACGACGTCGTTACACTGCTTTTAATCTTTCTTACTATCTTTTTCTCGTTTTATTACTGATTTATTACTCTCGTTTTAAAACGTTTATAAAAATAACATGCGGAAACTGAGTAGATGTTTGTGTACATCATCAGAGAAAACAACAAAATTTTTTCAGAGTGCATTTTATGAAAATAAACAGTAGGCAATAGAACAAAGAAAACTACCAAAAAACATTCGTTTTTAGGTACTTCGAGTGGACAAAGCATTGGAAATTAGAGAAACCAAATTATGCGTGTCGTCTGTGTAAATTTCTAAACGAAAAAAATGGTACTGTGAAGATTTTGCCAGACGTCAGGAAGTGGTGGTATGACGAAAAAAGATGTGAAAAGCGTTACGCAGAGCACTTAATTTGTCATTGATAGCAGAGAAAAATTTTTGTTCAAATCAGTTCACTAACAAAAATGCTTAGTTACCTGCATGAAAACCTGATGATTTTAGTATAGAAATAGGCTGTTGGTAATTATAAGATTTTCTTTCTTTTAGCTTTAACTTCTCTACCTGCAGCTTACAATCATAACATTTTGAAGGTTTATTCAGAATTGTGTTTATTTGATAAAATTCGTTGGTTATAACAGTCTTCATCTAAAGGAAAAATTTTTGTTCATCATAAGTCTATTTGTTCCTATTCTTCAGAATCTGAGTCTCCAGATAGAATTAAAAAAAAATGCATTTTTGACTCTAAAAGTCGAATATTAAGAAAAAAAATGAAATAGTTTCCTCACTTTATTCTTAAACGTTTTAATGTTTTCCATTCTAATTTTTCAGTAAGCAATAAGTAAATTTAGGTAATAATATTAACCCGCTGTTAATTGCATACTAAGAAATCTGTTCAGATTATCAAGATCAAATCAAAAAAAAAAAAAAGCTGGCGCAGATAATTTATTTTTCAAATACGTTGCGTTTGCTTAAATAGTAATAAATTGTTATTTATTAAATATTTGTATCGTTGAGTTGAATTTTTTAGCAGGTATATTGTTAGATATATTTTTATGTTTTGTACAACTGCAGAGGTGAAAACCTTAACCCGAAATTATTTCCATTTACACTTTTCAGCTTTTCTCGACTTTAATTTCCTTCTTGATAAGGTTTTATCGCGGTGCGGTTTCATATGCAAGCCTTAACTTTTCTAGAATTTCATGGTTTTTATTTGTTTTGCTGAGAAATCATTAGAAAGTTTTGGGCCAAGTGGAAATCTTCTTTGATTTTCTTGAACGTTGTGGCACGTACTCGTTTACTGTCTCATTTTCTGCAACACATATTTGCTTTTCGGTTTTATATTTATTAAGAATATCTAAGTTAGCTTTCAGCGGTGGAAATGCTTAAAATAAGTATAGCGTCTTTGTAAGTTTTAAAATCCTTCAAAGGGTCACTTAAAAATTCTAAAAAAGTTCAAAAATTAGCTGTTGCACTGGTAACTCTCTGTATGCACTGACTCAAACAATTACACTAATTATATAATTATACAAAGGTTAGGCCTGACAACTGCTATTATAACAAGTGGAAAACGCTCTTATAAGCAAGGTATTTTTCCTAACTGAAAACAAAGCACTGAGAAATTTTAGTGTATAATAAAAATTGTTTTTAAACTTAAAAAAAATAACTGTAGTTGAGAAAAGTTAAATAAAATTTATTGACGATGAAAAACGAATTTACAAAAGAGAAATTATTAAAAAGATCTTGGTGAACAGAAACCGATTATTGAATACGCTAATTCTAACTGTGTTTCTAAACATGGTATTGACAAAATCATAAAAATAGGAAGAACACGACAACGTAGAATACCTTATCATTCAATTACGTGTGCAATGGTCTAGTCGCCAAACTGACGTATAACATTGTGTAACAGAAATACTTCACTGCTTCTGTCTGATTCTGTACTAAGTTTCAGTCATCTTCAAAACCATGTGCTTTAAATCAATTTCCTATCTTCAGCAACCTTTTTTTTTTTCAGAAAAATCAGAATCTTTCGATTGCTCCTAATTAAAATTTGTGTAAAAGTATATACTTCTTTGTTGCTTTTTATAAATTCTTTTTAATCTTTATTTGATCACTTAATGGTTTTCTAAATTCAGATTCTGCAAGAGGATGGTGAAGTGTTCTATTAGCTGAAAAGAATTCTCTTAAAATGCAGGTTGCTACATCTGTCTGTGGTTTATCAGCAATTAGTTAAGTTGTATAAAGTGCAGACATGATTAAAATTTTACGTGAGCATTCATCAGTGTTTCAGATGCGCTGCAACTTCGTTTGTCGCCTACTTCATGCAATTCCATTGTTGCTTTCTATGCTTGACTATTGTCTATTTCTGGTCAAATGAACAAAGAGTAAATTCATGTTCTTCACTATTCCCTGATAAAAATAAATGTTTTCTGTCGCGGTACTTTTTGAAGACTTCTCTTATCATATATTTCTTTCAAATTAACGTAAACCAGTGAAAAAAAGAGAGTGGTAGTAACAACTTAAACAAATAAAATTTTTATTCGGTCAAAACTTTTAAAGTAACTATTTGTTCACTAAAATCATAAATGACAAGGGATCTAAACCTTAATTATTATATAATTTTAGATGTTTACAATTCATTTACTTTGATAAAATGAAAAAAATGTGGAAACCGTTTTAACTCAGTATTAAGCTGTAATATATTTGCATTTTGTATTATCTATGATACAAAAATAATAATTTTTTACTTATTTTTCTTTAGTCAACGTTTTCTTATTTTCATTATTACTCTTTTTTCTTTGCTGCTAAGGTAATTTTTCATTGAAAATATGTCTGCGCCCACAAATATCGCTTAAAATTTTACGCATCTATATTTGCTTTTTGTAAGCGTTAAGACAGTTTGGTATAACTCTGTCTAGCTAGTTTTTGCACTGCTTTTTTTTTTTTGAGAAAACACTAAAAAAAATATAAGTAGTTTATCACTGTTGTAATTCAGAAATACTGAATAAAGCGACAAAAAGTTCCTAAAAGATTTTGCAGAAGTTAGAGAAAAAGAATTTGGACGGTTGGGGAGAGAGGAGAGTTAGGATAATCACTATAGAATGAAGCGAAAAAAAAGTTGACAATACAGAACTAAGTAAATAAAACAAGATAAGTCAGAAGTTGTCCAAATTTCTTTTACTTACTATTCTGCTTGTGAAATCGTAAAATTTTTAAAAAAATCCGAGGTTTTTGTTACTCAAGTACACGTAGTATTATAGTTTATTTCTGTTTTTAAAAATAATAAGTATTTCTTCTTCTCTTACGATTTTTTCTTTTAATAGTGATGCTTAGAGTTGGATAACTTAGTGGAAAAGATACAGAGTTTATTATCTGAATATGGTAAATGTTTTTCTTGCAAATTCATATTTTGACTATACTAAAAGAAATAGCTATAAAAAGCGACATAATAATCGACTAATAGCAGAGTTTACATGAGCATAATTTTTTGGCTGGTTAAGAACAGTCATCTTTGATCGAGAACTGATTTCTCAACGAGTTTAAAGAGATAGTCGTAGAAAACGATTTAAAATTAACAAGAAATAATACAAGAAAGGTTTTTTTTACTAGGTTTTTTTATTTCCTAAATTAGTAAACTATTGAAAATGTCTATGTTTAAAACAAGTAGCGGCAAGCCGCGTTTTAAGCTGAAGAAAAACACTACTGGCGCTGAACGCCGAAGCAAAGAAAGAACTTGTGTAGTAAAAAAGTCAGAATTGCTCTTGTCTGGTCCATTTTTACGTAAGTTCATCTGAATTTGAATAGTGCCTAAAATTCCTACTAGAAAACTTTTACAACTTACTGCTTTACAGTCGCTTTATATGTTTTTATCGCACTGTTTACCGTTTTTTGATATATATATATATATATAT